GCAAGTATATAACAAACTCTACATTTTGAGTGGGAATGTTTGGGGGTCGTCTTATATGCCCAGTCGCCTTATACGCCGGCAAATACGGTAATTAAAACTTTGCCTAGATATCCCTATATAACCCTTGATTGTTTAAAAAAAATGGGGCCCCACAATTTTTGCAGCCAAGTATTCTTTTCACTTTTTAAACTGGCTATGCATTACTATCAAAACTGTCAACATATCTTCTTTGAATAATTTAACCAATCTCCTGTTCTTTGAAAGAGGCTACTGTATCATATGCTATATACAACAGCCAGGTTTCCATACAAAAATAGAACAGGTTATGGTTTATTAAACTTTGGTTTGTTTGTGTGTTCAAACCCAGCTTTGCAAACAAACCACAGTTTGCTACCCAGCCATAAACCACAGTTAGAAGTTATGTAGTTTTTGGACTGTAAATCCTGAGTTATATAAAGCATGCCTTTTTGTTATAGCTGAACTTTGAACTGTGGCTTGTTTTCCTAGCTGCCCACTGTGAAATAGGAGATAAAAGAAAGGTGGGAAGGTAACAGACTAGAACTAAGGGAATCATCTTCTGCAGGATAATTTGTGGCTGAAGCAGCAAAGCATGACTTAGTGTAATCTGCAAAATGCAGTCAAAAGCATGGTTTTCACACAACCAAGCCTACTGGTTTACCATGGATGAGCAGTTTGCTTGCCTTTTTGCTTATATGAGCACTGGGAGAAGGTAAACAAACAATTGACTTTTAATACATTGCTTTTTTTACTGTGATGAATGAACCCAGCAGGAAACCAGCTCTCTGGTTTGTCTTCCAACTGCTATAACTAGATAGAACATTAACTTTAATGCAAATCCTGGCTTATATTTCAAGTTCAGCAATGGGCAAATATAGCTTTCCCAATGGTGATGGGATACAATTCCCACTGTTGGCTATACTGACAAGGACTGATGGTAAATGTAGTCCAATAACTATCACCTAGAGAGACGCAGTTGCTCATCTCTGTTATAGCTTGTCAGAAAGAGAGATGGTGCCTGCCAAGTTCACATATCAATAGAAATAAACAGCATAACTGAGGGCCATTGACAGTTTAGGTCTTCCTGCTAAAACAGCAGGGATTTGGCAGCGTACACATCCTAGCACATCCTCACAAATCAGAATTCTCTTGAATCCCAGCTAGTTGTAACATCCCAATATAAAAATTATTTCATAAATAGCTAAAAGATATACAAGAATAGGTTATCGATCCTCATTCCCTTTTAAATATATTTTTGGAATGTAAACATTCAGTATTTGAAAATCTTAGCTAGCAAAACTATTGTACTTGATTTTCTAAAATAATATAGTCATCACAATTATTTTCATGCATTTTTCAATTTTATTTCAGATCTCAAGGCATGCAGAAGAACAGCCATCTGGATGACTACATAGAGAGCACATTTTATAATAATGCAAAGATAATGGCTTTATAAAGGACCTTAAAAGACAAACAATATAATGAGTTTTAAAGGAGTTTGCATTTACAATTTAATCCCTATCTCCCTTTATAATGTCTGATACAAACTCTACCCAACAGCTTTGTTTAGTTAATGTGAAACTAAAAACAAATACTGGAAACTGCATTGCAAATCTCCCATAAATTTGTCTTTCTAGGTTCTTTGTTGGCTTGCAAATGCTATTTTTAAATGGCAAGGCAAAATTTAATATCCTTACCCATATGCCCCATTGCTAATTAGTTTAATAGTTTCAAATTCCTCTTCAGACGGAGTTTTCTTGACTTGCACTGTTGCTCCCCGGCTCTGAAAACACATGAAAAACAGTTGCCCATTTCTTTTCCGTGTTTCTTTTTTGGGGAAACTTATTTAATGAATTCTGCGTTGGCATTATCTTTTAGAGAAAGATATATGTATTTCTAAAATGCAAGTTTTTGAACTACATTGTAGCTGGTTTATCTCAGTACACTTAAAATATTTATACTACTCTTTCCTGATATTTTCCACAGATACAAGGGAACATTTTTTCCTGCTTCTGGTTGCAGTTATAAGTGCATGTGCACATTGGGGGGTGAGGAAGGGAGAAACATATTTCAAAACTACAGGTTCCAACTAGGTTTCCTGTAAAACACAGTTCAAACAGCTGCTTCACCAAAAACCCAAATATAACATTTGCTTTTCTATTCATCTTATAAATACTTTGTAGTACTGTAACACTCAGGGATCTTTCCATGGAAAAAATGAACACTCATGGACTATTTGTTATTTGCAACACCATACTGAAACAGAATAGTTAGAATAGCTGCTGTTTTATTATCAAATGAATCATTTAGCTCAGTACCTTTCCCTCAGCAGAATCATCTGTTTCTGGAGTGTCTGGACTATCACAGCTATTCAACTGGGCCATTTCTGGAGGGAAAAACAGAAATGCACATTTCGAGAAAGCCTTCGAGAATACAGAAATGCACACTCTTAGAATGAAAAAGGTACACAATTTTTGGTGCTCACAGAAGCCAGGATCCTATCACATCAAACTAATTATGCAGTTGAATGCAAGGCAAGCAGCTGGAAATTCTGGCATCTAGGACCTTACTATAGAAGCAAAAGTTGTGTAGTCTCAATGATAATCACTGCTTACACAACAGCATTTTTGTATTGTTATGCCAGCAGGGATTTTTTTTCTCTGATGATTTTCAGCAGGTCCTTGGATAGAAGGATCTACCTAATTCCACCCATTGGCAACCCTTCCCTTAAATTCACATATTTCCATGTTCAGGATGATGAAAGGTTTTGTATGGATCCCTGTGAAGCTGAGGCTGAAGAATGTGGTGTCTTCTACAATTGTTCATATTGGAATCTTTCAATAAAAACACACTCATCACTGATTAGGGCAATAGGGAATATGATTCTATAATACAGTATTCTGTGATTGAACACATTAAACTGTCTGGCAATTTGTAGCACATACAGAAAATCTTGTAATTGCATGGGACGCTGTAGTGTTAAAACAGTACAGTATGAAGGGGGCCCATATAGCAAGTTTTACATTACTACAAGAGTATAATACATATCAAATTATTTATGCTATTATGTGGAGGGATGGGAATGGTTTTAACTTCAATTAAACATTAATTTATTGACAATATTAACACTGTAAATGTAACAAACAGAAACACACGAAGTTCCACAAGCACTTACTGTAGAATTTAATTTTCATTTTTACAAATAAGAAAGCAAGCTAAATCAATATTTGTAGCAAGTAGTTGCTTAATTGCCGAAAAGTTGTAAACATTTTAATTTTGATTATAGAGGCTGGAAGTAGCTGAAAGTTGTTTCCCTAAAGTTCACAAATATGGAAATGTTACAAATTGACAATATGGAAAATAAATCTGATTCACAAAGTTATGAAAGAACATGAAAGACGTGTGCATAAACAGTGTGTGCAGTGTATAGTTCTTATTACATTTCATATTATTTCAATAAAATAATGAAACAATTACAATTCAATTTCACTAAAACCCAAAGATAGTAATGTGAAATGTATTCTTCAGGTCTCTGGCTCACACAATCACCAATAAACATCTACCATGTTCTGCCTACTCATGTCTATGGCTGTAAATAGCATAACCATTTCCCTAAAATGGTTTTCCTCCATTGCTTTGAATCCTTATCCCCTAATTTTTCTGACAAATTAAGGTGCTATATGTCTTGTGTGTACTTCTGTGTATTTCTCTTTATTGCACTGATGAAAAGTGTATCAAACAAAGGCGAGCCAAATAAAGACAATTTACACTGGTGCCTTGACTTACGAACGCCTTGACCTACTAACATTTTGACTTACGAACAGCTCCGTTCACACAATTTTGCTCTGACTTGCGAACGAAGCTTTGACTTACGAATGGAAAAAGGCAGGGAAAGGGGGCGGGAAATTCAAATATACTAACCGTTGGTGGCGAAAAGGCTGCTTCTTTGTAGTTCTTTCACCCCAACAGTTCAGGAAAGGGATGCAGCAGCGGGGGTGGCCGAGCGCCGGGAGGCAGGAGCCCAGGAAATTCAAATGGCCTCCCGTCCGGGTTCTCACTCCCAATGCTGGATCCATCCCCACTGCTCGCTTCCCAGCCGGGCTCTGTCTCCCGGAGTCCGGCTGGAAAGAGGAAAGGGATGCGGCAGCGGGGGTGGCCGAGTGCCGGGAGGCAGGAGCCCAGGAAATTCAAATGGCCTCCCGTCCGGGTTCTCACTCCCAATGCTGGATCCATCCCCACTGCTCGCTTCCCAGCCGGGCTCTGTCTCCCGGAGTCCGGCTGGAAAGTGAGCAGTGGGGACAGATCCAGTGCCAGGAGCTAGAGCCCGGCCAGGAGGCGAGGACCCATCACGGCTGGGCAGCAGTGGCGGAGCCCAGGCCGGGCAATGGTGGACGGCAGTCTCGGCAGCAGTGGAGCCCAGGAAGCTGAGCATGGCCGGGACGCTTCAGAGGAGGCTTGATGGTGAGGGAAGGTGCTGCTTTTTGCATTTTTTTGAACTGTTTTGGGTGTCTTTTACATGGTGGGATTGGGCTGTTTGTGTTTATTTGTTGTTGTTGTTTTTTGCAGCCCCAGAGGTCTGCAGTGTTTTATTTTTAATTTTTTTGTTTGTGTGGTGTGTTTTTTTTTGAAATGCTGGAACAGATTAATCCCGTTCCCATGCATTTCAATGGGAAATGGTACTTTGACTTACAAATGTTTTGATTTACGAACATCTTCTGGGACGGATTAAGTTCGTAAGAAGGCACCGTTGTACATTTGATATTATTTTCATTAATTACTCCTCTCTTCCTTGTAGCTTCCAGGGCCATTTCATGCACTGTTCCATATTCTGGTGCAGTATTGAAGGCTGTAGGTGAAGGGAAATGGATGAAAACCACTTCCTCCCCCTGCTTCCATTACACAGTGAACCAATTTGTGGAGTTGTGCTCTTCCCAATTCTGGATCCAACCCAGGATGTACTGAAAATACACTTATACACAATATACATATTGTGGGCACCTGATACCAACTGTAGTCATCAAAGGAAACAAAAGTCACATCTATTTTAAAAATGACACTTTTCCTCACACATTACAAGATGTACCTACTTATCAAATTTCATAAAGTGCACATCAGTTATTAGTTGTCCGTACCAGAATATACAAGGATGGTTTGTGTTACTCAGCCTACTTGTGGTCTATGCAGCCCTAAGAATAAATAGTAAAAGTCCTTACCCTCCAGGGGATCTCTGGTGAGGCCCAGCTGGGAGATAATATAACGAGGGATATCACATTTAATTCCTTCCCCTTCCTTGGCATGGCCTTCAGCAGCTTCTAGCAGATGATAGAACTCTTCAGGATCAAATTCCTAATACCCCAATACATAAATACAGAGAACAGTTAATTTGATTTCCAGAAGATATAAAAGTTTATAACTTCGAATATTGATTAATCCTGATGAAAACAAGAAAATCAAACATAGTTTAACTTAAACATCAGGGGCTCTTCTACAAATTCAGAACAGATATGAACAGTTCATAGCACAAGTCACAGTGTAACACTATACAACATGTATGTATATTTTCTAGGATTAAATGTAAATCACTAGACAAAATTATTACTGGGAGTGAGTACGTACATAACATCATTTCAGTTGGCCATTCTCCCTACTGATTAAATTGCCCAGATTTAAATAAACCAAGCCAGAGATATTATGTGCCTCCTTCATGCTGAACATGTGCAAAACCTGAAATGAATCACCCTGATTCTCAAGTTTCACAAACTTGGCTTCAAACTATCTGAGGAAAATAGACACAGGACTAGAATTCTTCTTTAAAATAAATAAACCTCAAGATACTGGGATCACCAATATCTGGGATACAGGGAAGGCTTACTTCTGGGGACTAGCACTTGACATTGCAATGCAAAAGGAAAGAGAAAGAAATAAGCAATATCAAAATTTACTAATGGCCCTTAAAAAGAGGAAAAAGCTTTAAAGATAAACCCTACAGCACAACAACTTTAAAATAAGATTAATAGATTACAGCATAAAAATCTGCTTGACCAGGAAGAGATGGCAAGGAAAGTAGAATTCGCAAGACAAAACTTTTTTGAAGATGCAAATAAACCGGGAAGATGGCTCATATATAAGATTTAAAAAGAAAGAGAAAATTCAATGATCAATTGACTTCTGGATAAGGAAGGGAAGGAAACCTTCAAACAGGAAAAAAATTAAAGAAATAGTTCTGAAATTTTTTGATAATCTGTACAAGAAAAAAGAAATCCCTTTGCAGCAACGAAAAGGAACCCTCCCCTGGAAGTTATCAGAGCAACAGTTAAAAAATTTAAATAACCCCATAGCAATGAATGAAATTATAGAAGCATGGGAAAAAACCGAAAAACAGTAAGACACCTGGACCAGACAGGTTGCTGGCAAAATACTATAAAGCTTTCCAGGAAAAACTGATACATTTCAAAAAACTGTTAGAAGTTATTGAGACTGGTGGAAAAAATACCTGAATCACGGAAAGAAGCCCATATATCTCTAATACATAAAACAGGAACAGAAAGGAATCAAATTAAGAATTATAGACCAATTTCCCTCTTAAATGTGCATTATAAGATTTTTGCCTCTATTTTGGCTAACAGGCTGAAAAAGGTCCTAACTCTAATGATATACAAAGATCAGACTATTTTTCTAACTAAACAGAAAATGGCTGCAAATATAAAACAGTAATAGACATACTGGAGTATTATGAAGCTCATCCAGAAAAGCAAATGATGTTAATCTTTTTAGATGCAGAGAAAGCCTTTGATAATGTGAATTGGGACTCTATATTGAACCATTTATATATATCCTGCCTATCTAGTCAACAACCACTCTAGGTGTTAAAGATGATGAGCCTTCAAAGAAGCTTTTTTCAGGTGGTGGAGTCAATTTATTGACAACAGAAAGCAAGAGTCAAGGTCAACGGCCAAATCTCAGAGGCGATTCAAATTCAATAGGGCACAAGACAAGGATGCCCCTTATCACCTTTACTTTTCATGTTGACATTAGAAATATTAAACAGAGAAATAAGGCAAAATCCCAGAAATAGGGGGCTGAGAATAAAAGGTGAGGAATATAAATTACAAACTTATGCTGAGAATTTGGTACTATGCTAGAAAACCCAGAGGAATCAATTAGAGAATTAATATCCACAATTAAAAACTTTGGTGCAGCATCAGGACTTAAACTAAATTATGAAAAAAATTGACAAAAATGTGACACAAGAAGAAGCAAAAAAATTAGAATTAGAAACTAGCTTTCAACACATATCAAAAATTAAATATTTAGGAGTGTATATCTTTAAAAACCAAGTAGCTTGATGAATGGCAATTATCTCCCAATACTTAAAGAAATACAGGAAAATCTGGAAAACTGGGGCAAACTGCAACTTTCAATGCTGGGTAGAATTGCAGCTATAAAGATGAACATTTTACCAAAACATTTGTTCCAAAATTTGCCAATATTGTTGAATTATACATACTGTATTTTAAGGACGTACATGAGGTGTTCTAAAACAGTGGTTCTTAACCTGGGTGATATCGACCCCAGGGGGCGATTTCGTTTTTCAGGGGGGTGATGGAACAAGAAGGGGCGACGGGGGGTGAAGGAACAGAAGAGGGGCAATATGGGGGTGATGGAGCGAGCCAAACCTGAGAAGGCGGCTGAAGCCGTGGTGCAGACAGCAGATCCAGAGCAGCTGGTGGTGGCAGCAGATCTGGTGCCGCCACCATGGGGAGGGGGGCAATGATAACTTCCTTAATGACTCAAGGGGGCGTTTCTTTCAAAAAGGTTAAGAACCACTGTTCTTAAAAAAACAACAATAAAACTCAAGCTCTACAGGATTTAGAAGAAAGAGGAGAAATAGGCTTACCAAATTGTCTACCTTACTACAAAGCCTGCACACTTAACTGGATAAAGGAATTGATTATTTTGGAGGACCTAAGACTTTTAAAACTGGAAGGGCACAATTTGAGATTAGGATGGCACGCATATATATGGTATGGCAAGGGCCAAGACCAAACACTTTTTTTTTCTGATCACATTGTAAGGAAAGTGCTATACCAGGTCTGGCAAAAAATTCAGATGCAAATATACAAATAAATTCCAATATGGGTAGTGCCTTTGGAAGCTTTTACACAACCTTCTCTAATCTTGAAAGAACTGAGATATACGTATAAAGAGCTCTTAACCAAAGAGCAACAATTTAAAAATACACAGGAGCCGAAGGAAATAGGTCTACCGATGAATTGGTGGGTGATGCTAAAATTAGAATCCAGGTTTTAAAAAGACAAAATAGTGGATTTTTATTAAGGGAAGTTCAGGTGGATAAGTTATGGATTTATACTAGTGATAAGCCCAGAGGTTACCTCGAACCCCCCAGGTTTGGGGCTCAAGGAAGAGGATCTAGAATGCAAAAGAGGTATCTTTCTACCACCATTGTCTGCTTCACTTCATGTGGTTCAGCTGGAAAGAACAACATGCCTCCTTCCTCGGAGTGACCCCACTACTCCATGGGAGGGTAGTTCAGTGAGAAGCTCCCCCTAGAATGGGTAGCAAGACTCCCCTTCCCATGGAACTGTGGGCAACTCCAGGAAGGCAGGCAACTGTGGAGGCATTCCCTTCTTCTTTCCAGGTGAATTACACTAAGATTTCACAAATATTTTCATGGCTGCCACCACGAAATTTTTATTTCTATATTTACCTTTCAATATTTATTGTATGTCATGTCAGCATCCCCATCTCATACACTGGTTTGGGTGGTAGAATGCTTACCTGGTACAAATACAGAAGACCAAACCCTATGCCAGGGTTACTTAGCAACTATTCAGATAGTGAGTACTAATTGTATTCACTCTCTGCATCATATCAGGATAGCATGGACAGGGTATCATATTAAAACACAGAATGAGTAAAATGACACTTGGAAATACTTTTGGGATCACATGGATAATCAAAGCACACTGTTGAAAAGAAAGGATTTGAATGTAGCAATGTAACTGAATGAAGCTGCTCTGTTTGGATCTGTTCCAGGTTGCATTATACTACCATTCAGCTATCTGGCACATAAAGCATGAACACAGAGGGAAGATAATACTTAAAAGCATACATAATTAAAATTTTTACTCCTTCAGTGTTAAACCCTCAAATTAACATGCTCAATAATTCATCTTAGAAGTCAACCACATTGTTGGAAATGTATCCTTTTATAGGAAATAATCTGCAATCATTTCTGGGCATGCAGGAGTTCATATCTCAATCTATGGCAATCTAAAATGAATGATACCAGATGCTCTCTATTATTACAAGAAATCAATAGCAGTAAGCATAGGAGGCCTATCACTATTTTTATGGTAATCTATGGTACCTAACATGCATGTATATTTATTAAGTCTTTCGCCCTAATTTTAGCTGTTTTTACTGTCATTTTATGTCAATCTGACTGATTGTAGCTGTTTTATCTTTTCACGGTCTTTGACTGGTGCATGTAGTCACACACACACACACACACACACAGAGAGAGAGAGAGAGAGAGAGAGAGAGAGAGAGAGAGAAGACAGTATGGCTTATACAAAAGAGGATGTCAAACATCCATCTGGTAGTGGTGTAAAACTGTGGATGCCACCAAGGCCCTTGTGGTACTGGTGTATGTACCAGCTGGTAGGCCAACTGGATAGCATAGGCAATGCTCTGGAGATGCATTGGGAGGTAACTTGGAGCCCTTTCGAGGAGGGCTGGTAGCTGATAAAGAGTCGAGCAGAATATTGAAAGGGTTGCGTGCGGGCCACATAAATGGCAAGAGCACATCAGACATTGAGAATGTGAAGCATGTGCTTGTGAGTAGCGGATGGAGACAGAAAGGAGGACAGAAGAACGATGGGCCGAGAGAGGTGAAACTGGGAAACCACCTTCGGAAGGAATGAAATGTCCATAAAGAGATGAACCTTGTCAGGTAGTGACATCTGAAGGTAGTGATAGTCAGAGCATAGAGCTGCTAGCTCACTGGCATGTCATTCGGAGGTAATTGCCACAAGGAAAACAGTCTTAAATGTCAGGAGGCGTAGATGCGTAGATGCCAGGGGCTCAAAAGGGACCCATGTGAGATGTCTGAAGACTAGTATCAATTACCACTGGGGGGGAGCAGACATTGGGGTATATATGTGCTCTTAAGAAAATGCTTGATGGTTGGATGTTTAAAGAATTGAGAAGCTGGAGAAGTTAATAGTTGATGTGTGACAACAGGACAGAGATATACACCGAGCTATGACATAGAGAGGCCTTGCTGCTTGAGGTGAAGAAGGAAGTGTAAAACCGTGTGAAGTGAAGGATTAATGGGTGACTTGGCTATGGAAGAAATAAAGAACACTCAGCAAGGAGGTAGAATCCTCCACACCACCAGATGAAGCGTTGGGAGATCTGGGTGGAGAATTTGAGCCCTGTTTTGAGTAAGGAGGTGAGGTGGACAAGGAAGGTGGTAGACTTTGGATGACAGCTGAAGCAGAGTCAAGAAACAGGACTGCCATGGCCTCCACAGAGCTACGAGAATGGCACTGATCTTGTCCTGATGAAGGCAGATGACTACTTAGTGCAGGAGTGGAAACAGCAGAAACAGGTGAGTGTCCTGGGCCAACATCTGACAAAGGCATAGCCAAAGAAGTTCTTTCTAATCCCTGCACGAAAACAATAGCATCAGCATTTCCAATTTGTTCTGGAAGCAAATAGGTTGACCTTGGGTATCCCCCAACAGGTACAGAGGGCATGAAAAACTGTTTGGTCTGATTATCACTAGTGAGCCTCGTATTCCTTGTAGCTGAGTAGATCTGCAAGGTTGTTGTCTTGATTGGCTTCATGGACTGCTGTGAGGCACATGTGGTGGGAGAGCCACTATTCCCATAGATCCACTGCATGGTACAAGAGGCTTGGGGAGTGAGTACCACCCTGTTTGAGAATATAATACATTGTAGTGATCAGTACCATTTTCCTGTAAAGACGGTTCTGGAAGACCTTGCAGGCTTTGATGATGGCCAGGAGCTCCAGCTCATTGATATGGAGCTGTTTCTCTCTCTGGGTGCCAATCTGGAGGGATCCACAGTGAGCTTCCCAGCTTGCTAGACTCGTATCTGTAGTGACCTCTGTGTGTGGGTATGGCTGTTGGAAAGGTCTGCCCAATGTTGGGTTCTGTTTGGAGGACCACCAAGTGAGTTGAGTGGCAAGTTCAGGAATGACACATAAGACAGAGAAAGGGTTGAACACATTAAGAAAACATGTCTGAAGGGATATGCTGGATGATGGAAGTCATTGAGGCCATCATGCCTACAACACATTGCACCATCAATGGGGACATTGTTGTATGATGAGTGGAGGCATCGAGAAGATCAACTTGAAATGTTTATCCTCCGGGAGAAACATTTGAGCCATGTCACAATCTAGATAGGTGCCAATATAGTGGATGCAACTTTTTGGAACAAGACTAGACTTTTCTAAGTTTATAGTAAGGCCAAGGTCTTGAAGGAAACGTAGTGTGAAATGTATATCGCGCTGAGCTTTGCAGAGAGAATGTGTAACCAGAAGTCAGTGGTTGATGTTGAGTGCACTTAAACAAATATCCAGGCCTACCAGGTTTTAAAGTTATTTTCCATACTTCTTGGAATCTCAAATAGAGTAATTATTTTCTATGCTTCTTGGATTCCATCCATATTAAAAGTATATTCAAGGCTTGGGGGGTGGGCAGAATAAGTCAGTGTTTGGGTACCGGTTCATGGCTCAGGGAACAATAGAAGAAAATATTTACAGTTGGGAAGCAACTAAATAATAACTGTCCTTTTGAACTGCTGACTAGCAGCAAACTGAATGTCACTTTATCATGAACTGAGCTTTATACTTTTCAACCACATTTACTGGATGATCCCAGTTCAGAAAAGAAAAAGAAAAAGAAAACAGCACCTATGTTGCCCAAAGATACAACGCTAGCTAAACTACTTCAGATCTTTTAAGAATATATAGGGGGATAACAATTCTCTCTTGGACCATTAAGATAAAGAAAAGTTGGTTGGAAAAGAAAGGAGGCTGGCTTCGGCTGAGAAGAAGGGGCTGAAGATGTGTTTCACCATACCAGCATGAACAAATACACACCATACCAATTCCTGAATTCCATGTATCCCCTTCAATCTGGCAGCCTATGAGCAATCAGCAGCTGGAGACCTCATTAATCAAGGCAGAGAAGAACTTGTGGAAGCAATAAACAATGTTACTTGAGCAAGAACTCAGCCCCTTGAAGATATAATTTCTAGTATATGGGAGGAGAATCTGACCCTCACAAAATCCCAAGTCCAGGCTTTAGCTCTCAGCCAAGAAGCAACCCAGGAGCTGGATGAGAAGCATCAGGAAGCCACCTATAATGATGTCCTGACAAAACGACAAATTCTAATCTGTTGCAGTCAGAGGATTCTGATAAACAGAAGACTACAGGCTATTATATGCAATAGCAGCAGCTGTTTTATTAGCAAGCAGCCATGAGTCATCTGTTGAGACCAAAGCTTCCCAGTTTAATTATGAATCCGAGCAATTTCTATAAATATGAGAGGAATGTATCAAGCCACACCTGGTGCAATTCATCCATCACCTTTGTACTATGCACCCTCTCTACTGAGTGGGGAAAAATCCAGGACCATTCCAAGGGAAATATACATTTTTCTACATTTAAGCCTATAATAAGACTAAGGTGTATAGTTCTAATGTGTCCAACATTGATTCATGTTAGATAAAGACTGTAATAAGATACAAGAATTCCACAACTATCAAATTAACAGGCACAGTTAGCATTCCTTCTGATATTTAGCAACTTCTGCTGCTGCACTCCGGACAGCACACCATTCATATATGCCAGTTCATAAGAGAGACTTTCTGTATGCATTCAGCAACATGCATATATATTGCAGAAGCTGCTCTATTCTATATTGAATATCAGCCTCAGTGCAACACCCATGTAGACCAAGGTTATTTAACAAGCTGGCTTGGGAAATTGCTACTCATTGGGAAAATATGCAAATCTGTTAGACACAGATAATCAGTTGCATTATACTATGGGTTGTGACCCTACTCACCATATCTGCACAGAGTAACAAATGAAATGGGTCAATACTTGAAGCAATACTACAGAGAACCAATGTATACTCCTTAATAGAGAAAGCTGCTCCCCACTGAACCAGAAAGACTTTTAGGAGAAACCTCTGGGATTTCCTGTGTGTTGCACAGTATTTTTAAGAACATCACTGAAGTACTAATTATTAGTTTCTGTGTACTGCCACAACATGTTATTAGTGATACAGCTCCTGAAATAATCTATCTGCTTACCAGACATTCAAGCAATCGTGCAGGTCGTGCAATGATGATCATCAATTTTTTCACTAGTTGGGTTACAAATGTCACCTCTGAGCTCTCTGATCGTTCGTGAGCCTGTGGAAAGGTTTAAAGAAAGAATTGGTTCCATGTATGTTAAGTGCAGGAGCCATCATTGGTTGTTAGCTGCAGCTCACTAAAGGCATCAAAGAAGTAAGCAGCAATCAACATACTCTCCTTCCGTGTTGCCAAAGCTTTGCACTAACACAGGCTACAAGCCACAAGCAAAACTGCAGAAGATTTATTCATCAGGAATTCACTGAACACTTTCTCAACAGGATTTGAAAAAAAAATTCAATCACATGCTACAGCTCACTAAAGGCATCAAAGAAGTAAGCAGCAATCAACATACTCTCCTTCCGTGTTGCCAAAGCTTTGCACTAACACAGGCTACAAGCCACAAGCAAAACTGCAGAAGATTTATTCATCAGAAATTCACTGAACACTTTCTCAACAGGATTTTTTTTTAAAAAATCAATCACATGCTACTTTAACTATTTCCTATACCAAAATACATTTTTATATTTAGAATTAATTGGCGTACATTTTTTGTTATTTCTATTACTCTAAAGAAAACGAATATTTCACTCTTTAATTCTTTTATAAGGACATTAATTTAAAATGCTGTGTCCACAGAAAGCAGCCTCTTGCCCACCCATATTGTAAGCTGTATAAGTATCTATATACCTACACACAAACTTCCACATATAATTCAGTGATGCAAACAGTACTGATACATCACTGTGAAGTACTTCAGCTCTGTTTTTAGTTACACTGATACATAATACTCGAGCAGTGCATCTCCTTTGCACCTTTCACATTCTTCTTTATACAGAAGAAAGAAGGGGGAACACATTTTCTATCTTATTTGCTCTGTATAATGAAGGTTATATCATTGTACAAGAAGACTCCATTCTTTATCATTACTCTAAAAGAACTAAAGATAATTGAAGGTATAACTTTGTAGGATGATAAATAATGCTTTAAAAAAGAGGTTCAGCAATTAGATGAGTAGCAAACAATTATTGAGCTTTCTAAGAGCCTGCTGATGAAAGTGTACAATCCGTAAGTATAGCAGCCAACAATTACTTACTGACATTCATTTAGAAGAAATACAATTCCATACACAAACAAGCACTCCCCTTTATTTACAGAAATACTATTACATTACTCAACTTGGCTTAATTATCTATCAGAATTACTATTTCACAGCAAATGACATTTACACCTCTGAATTTACATAGTAAATGGAGACAGTTTAAACAAAGTGAATGAATACTTTATTAGGGTCAACAACCAGTAAAGTTTTAAACAACGTGTTATAGGAATGTTTTATGAATTTCTACACTAAAGTAATACACAATACTTTGAAAACCAGTGAAATAAACTAATAAACAAATCTAACTATTTACAATTTACAATTCTGCCTCCCCATCACCCAAAGGAAAATATACAATTCTCATGGATTCTAATGGATTTAGCTTGGACCTTATAATTTAACTAGGGTTTTTAACATTTTGTTTACATTTGTAAATTTATTAAATCTTAATATAAATTGAAATTAGATTTAGCATAAGCACCAATACTTAAAAAAAATTAAAACTATTTCCATAGACAAGGAAATTTGAAAACAAATGTTTAAGCTTTTTCAAAAACAAAGATTTAAGAAGCTGGTCATGCAATCATAATACTGCTTCATTTCCAAAATCAAATGTGAAAAAAACTTCCTAAAATTATTATCTGTGGTTAAATTAAAAGTTTATTAATGTAAACACAATTGTTTTTGTTCCCTATCAAGTCAAAAGTCAATAATATTTAATTTTTATCTTGCTTTGTATTTTGCAAAATCTAAGCTAAAATAAAAATGGTAACAGTAGTATATGGAAAGATTACAAAAACATAAAAATCAAAGACAACTTTTAATAGCCACTCAGCCATGATATCTGCACAGCACTGCAGCTCCAAAATCTTTAACAAAATATCCATTAGCTGTTTCTGTCTCTCAGTGGATACTCTAGACATCTTTCAAAATGTTTTGTTTTAGAATACATCTCATTTTTACTATGCCTTGTATGCATGGATTATATACCACATAGCTGCCTATCATTCATTTCCCTTGGTATGATGCATGCCATCTAATTAACAGCTCCAATGACAACATGCTTGTCTGAAGGTTGAGGATGATTTTTTTTCTTTTCTTGATGGCAAGGGATGGGGCTAAGCACGAGGGTGATGCCACCATTTGCTTATAGAAACAAAGTCATTTCCACTGACACATGTACTAGAGGTGGAAACAGGCAATTTACAAAGTGAGTCCCTTATCTGAAAGACTCATCCGTCACTAACTGTCGTCACTGAAGCATGAAATTAAAATCACTGTCCTCCTCTGGAGTCCAGCAGGACTAACAGTAGTCACAACTATGTAAATGAGCTAATACACTGATATAGACAGAGGCAGCCAAACACCAGAGAGAAGAACCAACACATGTGTATTAAAAATGGACATTCTAATTAGGGCTGCAGTTTAAGTGGACAATCATTCTTTATTAATGTCCGAGCACTGCACAGCTTCACATGTTGGGCAAATAAAATTCAAACAAATATTAAAATTATTGGATTATTTTTGACTAGAAGCAGGCTACTTCAATAGTGTTACCTCAGCTGTTTATTAGATCTTATTTGTACACGTGGTGGGACATAAATTGAATGTACATAAATGCTGCATTGATTCAGTTTCAACACATTCACACACAAAAAAACTGTCCTATATCTAAGTAGCCTTATTTTACCTGATAATTATTTGATCTTCCTACTTCCCTTCAAAGTCTATTAGATGAGTTTCAGTTGGTCCAGCCAGGATCTGTTTGCAGTCTCAGATTTTGAGTATTCACCCATTTGGCAAAGTGTGTTCTTTTTGCTCTCCATAGGTTTGTGCCTGGAGCCTGGTCCCATTTCCCTAGGAGGTTTTTGGCTGGGGATGAAGGCCAGGTATGTTTTCCATGTGTATTTTGCTGAGCCGTTTGTTTTGTGGGGGGGCATATCTTTGTTCTCCCTCATCACATGGCCGAAGAGGGAGGGCCTAGTGGTTTGAAATGGGATGTGCCTGAGTATTCTCAAATACTCTAATTCTATCTCTGATCCTAATATGGTAAATAGGAATGGCCTGAGGGAGGGAGAGTTTCAGCTTTAAAGGAGGATGAGCAGGAGAGCGTGTCTAATGGCGTGTGAAATTCTCTAATCCCATTTTTTACCCTAATTTGGTAAATAGGAAAGCCAACTAACATTGCATACACCTGGGGGGAGTATACTTTTAAAGGTCAGATCATATTTCCACACTATTAGAGAGCAGGCCAGGTAGGTGGGGCTCGTAAGCCCTGAAAGGCAGCCCATCTAGGAGAAGGAAAACTCTTATTTTAAACCTCCACTGCCGTGTGGCTATATCCACTTATGGAAAAGGCTTAAGGAGATAACCCCAAGGCAAAATCCGGAGCCGGAGCCCCAGAGGCAGTTCACTTCGTTCTGGCAACTCCTGCAACGTCGCTGGAACCAGTTGTATTGGCTCTTGCCTTTCCACTGGACCATTTGGGCGACGTGGAGAGGGGGGATTTGCTGCTCGGGTAACAGCCTATCCTCCATATTATTTTACCCAGGCTTCGTGCTCTGGAGTGGACACTCCAGCTTCGCATACAGCGTCGAAACAACACGGGAAGTAGCAGTTACCGGTTATAAGTCTTTGCTCAACTGGCGTAGAGCATGACGCCAGGGGCTACTTCTGACAGTGGGAGAGGTCACTGCACCTCACTAGGTAGATACCGCCCGCCTTAAGCTGGGCAGCCCCCAGCCACTAAGGTGCTACCTCGCCACAGTCTGTTAACTTCACGAGGTGCGTGGGGTTTAGGGTGAGACCTGAAAAGCAGATCGATAACCATGCACCATGCAACAATTGTAAGAAAACTTCTGGCCTAAAGCTGGGCACCTGGAATGTATGGACAATGACTCCTGGCTTTTCTGACTACGGCTTTCCTGACGACCTGCACAAAACAGACGATGTGCGCAAGACAGCTGTCATTGACATGGAACTGAGTAGACTACAGATGGACATTGTTGCCCTGCAAGAGACAAGATTGCCAGACTCAGGATCTGTCAAAGAAAAAAACTTCTCATTCTTCTGGCAGGGAAAACCATCGAATGAGACCAGGGA